CGCCGATTCGTGAGATGAGTTCAACTCCTTGTCTTACTTTAGAAACAATTTTCTAATTGTGTGCTATCTGTTTCATTTGAGTTTCCTATGGATGGATTCCCACCTTACGCCACGAGCGGTTGTAGTAGAGAGACTTTTACCACTAGTGTTGATAAGCTGCTTATTGGTTCAACTCCTCAACTTGATCCGGCTGGATCTAAGGAGGTTCCTCAGCTAGTATGAGATGGGGGTCATCGTACATTATGACAGTTGATCACATATGCTCTCCTTACTAAAGATTCCAGCTCTACTCAGGCTTTGAAGAAGCCGTATTATTTGTTCGGTGATCATGTTGAGGATCCATATGTGCTGACTCTTGACGATAAGCAATGGCTGAATGATGACGACAAAAGTCCACTGTATATCCCTTCTATTCCTCGCTAGTATTCATTTGCACATTTAGAGGCACAAGCCGTGGAATGGGAGATGTCTTAGCATCTTACAGATGATCACGAGTGAGTCCACTGTGGATTTATTAACAAGCATAAGACCCCGGGTTCGGATAGGTATAATTGTATTAGTGGCCTTCGACCAGGGATTCTGGGACTTGATACAGTACCGCCAGATGAAGTGTTGATAGATGCAAACACAGTGAGGAACCGTCTCGCTAGACATGGGACGAAACTCCCTATAAAAGAGTATAGGTGCTATGGTTAGGTTCACTCGCCACCCAAGAGGTGGTGGACTCGTATGATGAGTTATGTTCTCGGACGCTGGGACATTGAACTAAAGCAAAGCGAATTGTATGCATCGGTACGCGCTATCATGTACGAATTACCGATCAGTAGACATCATTTCCTAGCATTGTTGGAGCTTTATAACCCTAACACTAACACTTTCTTGACTCGTAACGGGGAGTTAGGGTTGTTAGACCCCTAAGGTCGCTAGGAAAGAGCCCTAGAGGGGGGTGAATAGGGTTTATGCTAATCTAATCTGATTTAAATGCCAATTAAAACTTACTAACAAATATAACCTAGTATATATAATATGCTACAAGATATGTGCAAGGATATATAATATAAACAAGGGTAAACAAAATTAACATGTAACAATGGTGATATAACAATATGCAAGAATAAATGCGCCAATGCCAAACTCAAACACAAGGAAATGATCACAGAGTTCGGACCTTCCGTCCTACGTCTCCGCTACCCACTCCCGGGGAGAATCCACTACACAACCCGGTTTGAAAGCCGGAACTTCATTACAAACTCGGTTTTCTAGCTAACCGAAAACTCTACACACTCGGTTATCAAGTCAACCGATAACTCTCACAAATCCTCACGTATCGACGCCCTCAAGTGCTCGGAATTATCACCTCTCACTAGGCCACCGACGCCACTCCTCTCAGTATCGACTCCGTCCTCACCACACACTCCTCCCGGTGTACAAGTGTATTACAAAGTGATCCTCACAATTAGGCTGAAAGCTCACACTCTTAGTCACAAACCCACAACCCCAAAATATACAATGTATGTAAATACAATAAGCTCAATGGTTGTGTGTGTAAACAAAGAGTAAATAAAATCAACTAAACTCAATATAAACACTAGCTTAATAAAATGGTAATTAAACAATATAAATGTAAAGCTAGATTGAGTTGAGGGAAACTTCTCTATAGATAACAAGAGAGAGGTGTTGGCCTTCTTGTTTTGATGATGTTTAACAAACAATTTATTACTAATATTGTTTGTCTAGTGTTTGTGCATTCCTATGTTTTGTAGATAAACAACGTTATTGGAGGATGGATGGATTGCGCCATAACGATGATATCAAATGGAGGTTGGCGGAATTGTGGAGTGAAGCAACATGCAATTCATAGTTAAAGATCAAGTTCAAGCTTCATCCGCATGTGTACCAAGTTGAGCTACAATGAAGATCAAGATCAAGCTTGGGTAATCTAGTTTAGATTTTATATTATGTGTGTGAAGTACCTTAAGCTCAATATCATATACACACACGTATTTGGTTTCTATGTATATATATAGTTATATATATACATGCATGGTTTTGGGTTTTCATGTTTTGAACACTTTTGCAAAATAATGAGATTTCACAATTGGGAAAAGCAAATTAGAAAATTCTTTTTGTAACATGTTGAGTTGATTTACTATGCCTAATTGATTTTACAAAATCGTGTATCACAGCAGATTTTCAGAAACTGTATTTCTGTGTTCAAACATTTATTTCTCTCAACTGGGAAATGATTTTTCAGAAATTCTTTCTCTAACATGTTTATATATATGTCTAGAACCTTCTACAAAAATTTCATAATTTTTGGATCTGTTTTACTATTTTTAACCGATTTTATAATATCAGATATATCTGCTACAGTACCTCCGGTCGACCGATTTTGCCGCCGGTCGACCGACGGACTGTCTGGAAATTTTCTCCGTTCCTGAACTTGTTTGCGGTCGATCGCGATTTTCTTCGGTCGACCGCTGGAGTCCCAACGGCTCTTTTTAGAGCCGTTGCAGCATGGTTTTTGGGTCATTTTGTTGGGGTTTTTGGCTGAGGTTTTGGAGGCTATAAAAACCCTCTTTGATCTCAGTTTTCAGGTTATCTAAGAAGTTTTTAACAAGGTTATTTTGCTTTTACTGATTTGACATTGAATGCAAGCACACAAAAAATGCTATATAATATACATGCGTGCAAAAAATGTTGGGAATTTAACGCTTAAATCCCCTAATGCAACGGAAACGCGGTATAGAGAACAGTACACCAAGATTTACGAGGTTCGGCAACTGCCTACGTCCTCGGGAGCCACACAGATAATTTCTTATTAATCAAACAAGAAATTACAAATTTAGGAGCGTATCTCAAAACTGAGATTTCTCAGATAAACACTGTAGCTACAGTGTTAATGATTAAAGGGTATGAACCCTATCAATTATCAACTTGAGAATAAATGAATAACCCCACAATATAAAACCCCTATTTAATTCCCCCTTCTCTCTCTCTTCTTAAATTCCTTTTTCTTAATCTCCCCTCAAAATCAATTGAGCGCTGGAGATGAGAACGCTGCTGCGTTCTTGGTCGCCGCCAGAAGAAAAATCGGAGGAGGGGTAAAAAGCTTGAGCCACCGAAACCCTAGCGGGGGGTTTAAATAGGCGATGGGGGGATGAGCTGGCGACAGCCTGTCGCCAGCGGCCCGCGGACGCAAGGTTCGAGCCGACGCAGAGATCGGATCCGCAGTGACGCAGAGTTCGGGGGAGGCGAACGCAAAGCAAAGTGGAGGGTTCGAACGCAGAGCTCGGGGTGGGTTCGAACGCAGAGTTCGCCTGGACCTCACCTGCGTCGACATCAAGCTCGTCGGAGCTTCTCGCCGGCGGTCCTCATCGAAATGAGGTTTGATCTACATCCCCATTCTAACAGAAGCAACCTTAGGCAAGAGGATTTCAGCTACGACTTCTTGGGAACCAGAGACATTGACAACATTTTGGTCAGCTTCTGTGTATAGTTGTGCATTGCTAGCACTTGATCACAGTGAATTCATTTGTTGAGATCTCAATTTGTCGAGCAAGCCACGAAGCTCTTCATTCTGTTTCAAGCAGTGCTTCACCTGTAGTCCATATACATGAAAATATGGCGGCAACAATTGCCTGGAAACAATATTCAGAAACAATATTCAGAGTAATAAATATGTGACGTCCCATTTTATTGTTATTTTAATTCCCCAGACCATTAGCATGCTAAGCTGTAATAACCACAACCAGTCACAAGATTAAAAAGCCTAAACTTAAGAGTTAAGACAAAATATATTTGGCCTAGAGCAAGTTTGGCAATGGCCATAGTGGCTTATAAGCCACTTTTGTGGCTTATAAGCACACTTGGAGATGTTTGGCAAGTGGATTATTTTAACTTATAATCCACCAAAAAATAAGGTTGGGTACTGTAGCTTATTTTTTGGTGGATTATAAGCCACGAGGTTTGGCCAAGTTAAAGACAATTATATCCCTTACGATTTCACAAAATGAAAGACCTCTTTTAGTAACTCACCACCAACCCCATGTCCTTTTTGATCGTTTTTACAACAATGATGTATTATAATTCACCCATTCGCCAAGCACTCTGCTATTGAAAATGGATTATAAGCTACCAAATTTACCAAACACTCTAGACTATAGTCCACTTGGGTTATAATCCAAAATCCAGAGTTCTCAAACATGAAGCATCAGAAATTTTCACATCATTTAAGCATCAGTACTATACTTGGTTGAAGGGAGTCACTCCTTCTAAACAATATGACTCCCTGTAAACATGTTATTTATAACAATAAATGAAAAATGATATGGCTTTGTTATAGTTAAAGAAAAATAAATGAAAAACACAAAGGTAGGCTGCAGCTTCTCTGTAAAAGAATACGTGAATGTTGTAAAAGAATTCGTGAATGTGTCAAGCTACCTTAAGACGTGAATTTCACAATAAACAAGAAGCCTATCATGCTCAAGCATACCCATGATTACTAGTGGTGAACAGGGTGAGGAACAAAGGCTTCAGTATTATAATACAGTCGTTAGCTAACGTCTGATCTAATCCAAGGAGGGCTGCATCTCTCTTTTCTCGTATGACAATTTTTAAGGATCCAGGTTCTACAATGCCAGAGTTTGTATCTTTTGCATGATCATTGCTTTTTCAGGGAGAAAGCCACGGTTAGTTGACAAGGCCTTAAACACCCAAATGAAGTTAAAGGTAACATTCCAACGACATAAACTTCACGGGAAAGAGCCCAAGAGGTAAATTGGGCATATTTCCCAGAGATATAATGCTTTCAAGTAAGGTTTTAGGGTGTGATCTCATAGCTGGTCTGTAAGCCGTCTCCACATATGGAATTTTAGTCAAAGCTATCACTATTGCGTAGTTCAGGCATGTGATATCCAAAATTTTCAATAGCACGTTGCATTTTTTTTGGGTAAAAAAGGGGGAAGTAATCGTCATCATTTACAGTCTTTATATCATACCTGATTCTCCCACTGCACTGCGACCCCCCAGTGTCTCTTGATAACAAGACGAAACACTGGAGTTTTCTTCAAATAACCTTTCTATGAAGACTGAATCAATCTGCCAAAAAGTTACAGAATAATTAACCATGCAGGTAGTAGTATAAAAATTGTACACAACATATGGGTATTGGGTACCTCCATAAGAGTTCATGTCTACTACTTTTCAAGTCTCTCGAACTTCAGCGCCTTACCATGCAATTGTTCTTTAAGTTTTGCCTTACTTTCCTGCAAAAGGGAAGATCCTCATATTAGGCCAAATATCTGAACACAAGAAGGCCCAGAACCTTTTCTGAAATCAATGCTAAATCAAATCAAATCTCATCTCAAACTTGTCTTATTTTAAGTAAGACTCAATTTGCTAATTAAAACTTACAAGCTGCAATCAATATCATTCTATACTTACCTGTAAAGCAATAGTGAGGATGATGCAAATGCTGGAGGAAAATTCGACAAAATGTTCAAATGACAAAGGAAAATAGTGATTTCTTTTAAAAACAAAATTAAACTTGCAAAATAATAACAATAGTAATAATAAAGGTTCAACCAAAACCATGTTCCATATCGTCACACCAGCTATAAACATCAGCCTTTGCAATTATAGGATAGATTTGAAGTCCATTACGGCACCACACAAACCCCTCGTTTCTCTTACATTTGACACCTCAAGGGTTTGATAAGAGAAATCTGCCTGCATTGATCACATTCAACCTAAAAATATATTCACAAAATGAAGCCATACATTCCTCCCATTGTCACCTGAAGTTTGATTCAAAGTAACTTTGAGAGAAGGGATTTGCATGTCAGAATACAAAATATTTAGTATCTGCCATAACTACCCAGAGATTACTAGATACAAAATTTACATAAACAATGTATGCAAACGACATTACCCACAAGTTCACATAACATTCAAAACTGTTGTTCCCCCTAATCCTCCAGTAGCAACCCTTAAACCTCACTATACACCAACAAAAACCCACCACATCTTCAAAATAGCAGCACATAACCGTCTTCAATCAATCATAAATCATAATTGGCATATCAGCCGTCCCCACTATTACTTCCGTCCCAATATAGCCTCTTGAGCAGCACCTTCTCCTTGAGCATCATCTACAAGCCTTGTTGCATATATCTGAAACCTCATTGTTCCCAACTTATCATTTTTATCAGCATAATACTTCCTCAAAATGCACTTTATCCATGACGCGTTTCTAGAAACTTCCTCATTTCCTTCAGTGGGAAGATTTTGCATGCCTAGAAGTTTCATCATCTTTCTGTTTAGAGCATCAACTTCCACATTAGGCCCGAAAAACTTTACCTATCATTGAGCAAAATAAACATTAAAAAATATAGTTCCAAAAGAGTTTTTACTTTAAATCTTTCCGTGCAATGTATGAGTTACCCAATCTTGTTCAGCAATATAAGCACGGATTCGAGCTGTCGGATCTTCGAGGGTAAGTCAAGAGATCACGGACCCACCTTGAGTGATCCAGACTGTTGGTAGGTATCAATATCGCTCCCACAAGTTTAGCGGGTCACGGGTTCGTGGTCCGTGCAAACCTGTTTGCTTGCTCACTCTTTTATCAATGATACTGGGACAGAAGGAAGTGGTTCACTGATTCCACTGAATTCTGCTGCTCTGCGCAAAGACTTCAGAGGCATTCTACGGAACACGCGCGATAAATGCATGAAGAGGATAAGTGTCGGAGGAAACAAGCGGAAAGAAAAAATAAAGAAAGAAAAACAAAAAAATCTTAATATTTTGAAATTAGCACCCTCAAATCATTAAAATTAGTCCCTTTGTTTGGGTTGGGGAATTTTAGTCCTCCCGTCTACTACGATCCCCGCAACTCGAAAGTCAACACACAATCAACAAGATAGAAAACGACCGTAATCAATAAGAAGAGCACCGAAATTTACGTGGTTCGGTTGACCAACTTCGACATACATCCACAGGACAACAATACGAGAAATTCACTATGTATTAGGGAGAACTACAAGAGAAACCACTCAACTCTCGTCTCTCAATCTCTCAACCTCACGTACAGAAATCCCAACAGTTCGAAGGCTATCGAGTGTTGGAAGTGCGGGAAAACCGGACACTACAAGAATCAGTGCAGGAGTGCACGGGAGGAGTGGGAGGCAAATGCAGATGTGAGCGTTGCCTCCACCTCAGGAGGAGATGATGCGCTGATATGCTCTTTGGAGAGCAAGGATGAGTCTTGGGTGTTGGACTCGGGAGCATCATTCCATGCTACTTCTCAGAAAGAATTCCTCGATAAGTATATCCCCGGAAACCTTGGAAATGTATATCTTGGTGACGATCAAGCATGTGCCATTATTGGCAAAGGTGTAGTGAAGATTAAGCTGAATGGGTCAGTATGGGAGCTGAAGGATGTCAAGTATATTCCCGACCTGAAGAGGAACTTAATAGAAGAGAGTTAGCTTTCAGGCAAGTAGCAGACCCCCCAGGAAGCAGAAGCTAGAGCTTGTTCACTCAGATGTTTGGGGACCAACAACCACCGCGTCGATTGGTGGGAAACACTACTTCGTGACTTTTATTGATGATCACTCTCGGAAAGTATGGGTCTACTTTCTGAAGAAAAAGTCAGAAGTGTTTGAGGCTTTCAGAAGATGGAAAGCCATGGTCGAGAATGAGACCGGTTTGAGGGTAAAGAAACTCAGAACAGACAATGGTGGTGAGTATGAAGACACCAGATTCAAGAAGTTCTGCTATGAGCACGGTATCAGAATGGAGAGGACCGTGCCCGGCACGCCTCAGCACAATGGTGTGGCTGAGCGCATGAATAGAACGTTGACAGAGAGAGCCAGAAGCATTCGGATGCAGTCAGGTCTACCGAAGCAGTTCTGGGCAGAAGCAGTCAACACAGCAGCTTACTTGATCAACCGAGGTCCATCGGTTCCATTGGAGCACAGAATACCAGAAGAGGTATGGTGCGGAAAGGAGGTAACCCTCTCACATCTCAAAGTTTTCGGTTGTGTAGCTTATGTGCATATAAGTGATCAAGGCAGGAATGAGCCTGATCCCAAGTCCAAGAAATGCACATTCATCGGGTATGGTGAAGACGAGTTTGGCTACCGCATTTGGGACAACGAAAACAAGAAGGTGATCAGGTGCAGAGATGTGACATTCAACGAGAAGGTGATGTACAAGGACATGCACAAGACAGATGACGGTGACTCAGAGAGCGAGTCAACATTTGTAGATGCAGATGATGTTCCGGATAACCTCTCGGAAGAACCCAATACAGAAGGTCCTCAGCCAGAAGAGCCTATTGGACAGAACGGTGCGCAGGAACCCGACGCACCAGCTCCAATATTGAGGAGAAGTACTCGTCCTCCTGTGCCTAACAGCAGATACATGAATTATATGTTGCTGACAAATGGAGGGGAGTCTGAAAGCTTTGATGAAGCTTGTCAGAGTGGAGATGCGAGCAAGTGGGAGTTTGCTGCGAAAGAAGAGAAGAAATCTCTGATCTCCAACCAGACATGGGGACTAGCTGAGTTGCCCATGGGGAAGAAGGCACGTCACAACAAGTGGGTGTATCGAGTGAAAAAGGAGCAGAATGGTTCCAGAAGATACAGAGCCCGACGAGTTGTCAAAGGATTTCAACAGAATATCCAAGGAAGAAAGGATCCAGCGGATATGTTGACAAAGGTAGCGACCTTTCAGAAACTGGAGTTGCGTGCAACTTCAGTTGGCCTTCATGCATAGATGATGAGGGCGGAGCCACACAGGAGAGGAGCTTGATGAGATAGCCTGTTGTCGTCGGTTTGGTCTCCAAGTGGGAGATTGTTAGAATTGGGGGTGGAAACAAACCTCCGACGGCGGAGGAGCTCCGACGAGCTCCAGGTTGGAGCACGCGAGGTCGACTCGCGAATTCGACGACGACGCGGATGGTGCTTTGCGCGAACGCCGACCTCGCCTCGATCGAACGCGACACCGGTTGAACGCCTGACCGCGCGTTCAAGTCGTTCGACCCTGCGTCCTGAGCGCCCCCACCATGCGTCCGCTGCCACCGTGGCGACAGAGCTTCGCGGGCACCATCAACTTCGGCTATAAACACCCCCCCCCCGATGGCCCTAGCTCCTGTTGCTTCTTCCCCCTGTTTTCTTGGGGCGGACCCTTAAACCGCAGCCAGCGTTTGATTCTTCAAATCGCAGCAGCGATTTCTCTAATTACCCGCCAGCTTTTCAACCAGTGATGAAGGGGGGATTTAAGGAGAGGAAGAGAGCAGAAAGAGAAGAGGGTTACTATTTTATTGTGGGATTGAACAACGGTAGCTACGAGTGTTTGTTAGGGAATCCCAGTTTAGGGATTTTGCTTTGACCTGTAATTTCTGTTACATTAAATAAGAATTATCTGTGTGGCTCCGAGGACGTTAAGGCAGTTGCCGAACCTCGTATAAATCTTGTCGTGACTGCTTCTCTATACTGCGTTTCTGTTGCATTAGGGGTTTAGGCGTTTAAATTCCCAACAACTGGTATCAGAGCGTGAAACGATCTAGAGGAAGTCAGATTCAAGTGGGAGCCATGGCCGCAGATGAGGGAAAGGTGAGAATAGAGAAGTTTGATGGATCAGATTTCGGATTCTGGAAAATGCAGATAGAGGATTATCTGTATCAGAAAAATCTGTATCAACCTCTCTCGGGGAAGAAGCCGGAGGGTATGAAGGAAGAAGATTGGAATCTTCTGGACAGAAAAGCCCTCGGGGTTATTCGTTTGACGTTAACCCGCAATGTTGCTTTTAACATTGCAAAGGAGAAGACCACGGCAGATCTTATGGCAGCACTCTCCAATATGTATGAGAAGCCATCAGCCTCAAATAAAGTCCATTTGATGAGACGGTTGTTTAATCTGCAAATGGCGGAAGGTGCATCGGTAGCACATCATCTCAATGAACTCAATACAGTCACGACCCAATTGAGTTCAGTTGATATTGAGTTTGATGAGGAAGTTCGAGCGTTGATCCTTTTGTCTTCCCTACCAGAGAGTTGGAACGCTACAGTCACGGCAGTGAGTAGCTCATCGGGAAAAAGAAAGTTGAAGTTTGACGACGTTCGTGATCTGGTTCTCAGTGAGGAGATCCGACGGAGAGAGTCGGGTGAAGCTACAACCTCTTCAGTATTGCATACAGAGTCAAGAGGTAAAAGTTCAACCAGAGGAAATGGATCAGATGATAGGAGATCCAAATCCAGAAATCCCAACGCGCGATAAATGCATGAAGAGGATAAGTGTCGGAGGAAACAAGCGGAAAGAAAAAATAAAGAAAGAAAAACAAAAAAATCTTAATATTTTGAAATTAGCACCCTCAAATCATTAAAATTAGTCCCTTTGTTTGGGTTGGGGAATTTTAGTCCTCCCGTCTACTACGATCCCCGCAACTCGAAAGTCAACACACAATCAACAAGATAGAAAACGACCGTAATCAATAAGAAGAGCACCGAAATTTACGTGGTTCGGTTGACCAACTTCGACATACATCCACAGGACAACAATACGAGAAATTCACTATGTATTAGGGAGAACTACAAGAGAAACCACTCAACTCTCGTCTCTCAATCTCTCAACCTCACGTACATAATCAACTCTCATATTCTCTCCAAAAGCACTTTCCTTATAATCTTTTGAATGGGCAAACACTGTGGAACCCTCTCCCAATGTTGTAATCATTTACACGGACAAAGACTACGAAACTCTGAAAGAAACTGTTAAGGAGCAACACTTGTACTTGAAAAATTAATTAACTTTTATTCTTTAAAAAATATTATAAAAAATAATATCATTAAGGTATGGTTCAGCATTCTCTGTATCATAGAAATAAAATTGAAAATATGAAGAATTATTTTCTTACGAAATTAGAGCATGGAGATTATGATATATTTCCCTATGTGCTCTAAATATTAAAAAAAATTATTTGATGCAAGGTCCCTATCATATCTTGCTCCAAATGATGTGAATAAAAAATGCTATTATAACTTACTTGCCTAGGGCAATTGTATTGTATATAATACATATAACTTATCTAGAACATCCACATCTGCTAAGTGAATTTTGTTGTTGCAAGAGCAAAATGTTAGAGGCTTGTATTCAAACTTTTTGGCTCTATAAAGCACACAAAAATTTAGAATGCATAGCTTATATATTGTAAAGAACATATTGGCTCATGAAGAATTTTCTCTAATAACAATATTATTACAACGATACTACTATTCAGTATTAAATCAATTTTATTATATAAGATTATATGACCCTTTTTAATAAATTATATGTGTGTTTGTATGTGTGGAAACCTCGATGCTTGTAGCCAGTAGTTGGGCTCCACAAAATTGGTTAACTTTACGTTGTAGTTACTAATTTAATACACGTAACTATAGAATAAATCTCAAGCAAAAAAAATAAGAATTGAGATTGTATAATCCTACAGGTAAATAAATAAATGTTATTAGAGCTTCTCTTTATATTAAATTTAAAAATAATAATTTAAATTATTAAGCATTAAATATTAGTTCATGTGAGAAAGTAAAGTAATCTATGGTCTATATACCTATTTAGTCAATCAATCAAATATATTAAAATTATGATGACCACAGTCAAAATTATAAGGTAGGTTCACATTAAATATAATTTATAAAAAATAATATATTAAATTCAAAATCCTTAACTACTATATAAATTGTCTGAAAATAGTTGCATATATAAACTATACTGCTTAGGAAGAGTGATGTGCACTTAACTAAAGCCTAATATATCTTAAGAACGACTTACTCTTCATTATCATTATTAATTGATGAATCTATACATTACACTGAAAACACAATGAATATTTAGAAAACTACAAAAGAAACACCCTCAAAATTTTAAAAAATATAAAAAAAAAATACCCTAAAAGTTGTAATTTACAAATATAGAAAACTATTAAGCATTACATTGAAATCAAAGAATTGTAAAAAAATCATTGAAAAATTTTAAACTTTGGAGGGATAATTTATAATGTACTAAACTTTAATGGTGTTTTTTATAAATTTTAAATTTAATAGATTTTTAATTAGTTATGTTCTTTTTAAAAAAATTATGGCTAATATTGACCATGAAAAGTATCTCCTAAACCTATACTTTTTAAAGAGTATGATATTTTTTGTAAGTTTTTTAATTTTTAGGAGTTGTTAGTAGGTTTGTATATTCATTTTAGTGTCTATAGGGTAGAAATTCTCATGGTGTTTTTTTAAATTATGAATTTTAGGGGTTTTTTATAATTTTTTAAACTTATAGGTTATTTCTACATATTGTAAATTGTTTATAGACTATTTATAATTCCTTTGTTTTTAATTTACTAATGAGTTTGCAATTCTCAGGGTGTTGTTTGTAAAATTTAAATTTTGAGTTTTTGTTTGTAATTTTTGAAACTTTAAGGGTGTTTTCTATAAATTATAAATTATGTAGGGGATATTTACAATTTTTATATTTTCAATGTACTATTAGGTTAGAAATTATCATTATTTTTATAAAGTTTACAATTTTGAGGGTTTTAATTTGTAATTTGTAAAAAGTTTAGATTGTTTATTGTAAATTCCATAAATTTTTGGGGTTTATTTGTGTTATTTGTAGGTTTCTAGTGTGTTTATAGATTTGAAATTTTCAAGGTGTTTTTACAAAATTTTAAATTTTTTGTGGTGTTTTTACAAATTTTCAAAACTTACAAGATATTTTCTCCAAAGTCAAAAAAACTTTTAGTTTCTAGCTAGGATATGTTATTCAGATTTCTCACTAAATTGAAATAAGTAAAATTTATAATTTTTAAGGTGTTTTAATAAAATTTTGTATTTGTAAGGGTGTTTTTGCAATTTAAAAAACTTAAAAGATATTTTTTACAAAGTCCAAAAATTTTTAAGTGCTAGCTAGCTTATGTTTTTTTAGATTTCTCTGCGAACTGAAATAAGTAAAGAATTTGAATTATATCAAACGTATCCCATTTTATCCAATAACATGTTAAATATCATTATAAATATGATAAATTATTTAATTACCAATTCAGAGAAGATAGTATAATAAAAACAGATTAGGATAATAATGTAATATTTAAAAAAAAATTAAGGGTAATATTGACCATGAAAAGATTTTTCCGAACTCGTACTTTTAAAGGGAGTATGATTTGGGTTGTTGTTCCTCTTGTTTTGCTTCCAGCCTGAAATCATGTGGGGTTGTAATTTAAGCATTAATGTAGTATGAAATCACGTGCTCAAAAACACATAAATAACTGAATATTTAGTCAAAGGATCTAATTATTTATGAATGGAATTTCATTAAAGAAACATATGGGATGCTAGAATAAAAAATTCATATCATTATGATTTTTAAATTCATGAAGATCACTTAAAATTTACCCATAGACTTCAGGTAGGTTAAAAGTCAAAAGTGTTCCGTCACGAATACAGATTAACTCTGCTTTATATTCCTTTTGGCACTAGCACCATCATTATGAAAACTAGCAAATACTTGAAAATAAATAAATAAATATGCAAGCATTAAAAAATCAGATGTGACACAAGAACTATCAGAATGTAAAATAAAAAGGTGAGGACTCACCTCCATGTTGCTCAGTGAATTGGGGCCATTATGGTGGTCTCTGTGGGGGTAGAATGCCAACATTTATATCAAAGATATGTCTGCGGACCAAACTTGTGATTGCATGAGATAATCACCTTGAACACATGGATGGAGTCCATGAAAACATTGTATTGATTGTATAAATTACAATAAGAGCTTTGAAGCCACGTGCTGCTAGTGAATAACAAACGGAGATTTATCCGAGCTTCAGAGTAGGAAGTTAACGAACTATAAGAAAGTCTCACGAAATGCACATATTCATACACAATTCACTGTCTCAATATCTCTTATCTAACACCGGTTCCACAAGAAACTTACCAGATATCATTTTCTGAAACTCTTACCTTGTGGGAGTTTGGTTCATCGTCACATAACATGAGCATTCGGACAACATCATCCATTGAAGGTCTCTTACTTCTGTCCTCTTCCAAGCAAGACAATGCAACTTCTACCAGCATTACTGCCTGTTTACGGTTGAACTCCTCGTTTAATCTCTGATCGATGAAATCAACAATCCATGACTCATCTCCACTCTCAAATTTCTCCTTCAGCATCCTAGTTAACGTTATCAGCTCTAACTCAGCTGCCTCCCCAATTCTACCTCCCTTCACTATCTCAAGGACAACAATCCCATAGCTGTAGACATCAACTTTTGCAGTTATGGGAAGATTCGATGCCCATTCAGGAGCCATGTAACCTCTTGTCCCTCGCATCCTTGAAATATTCAAATCAGCTCCTCCTCTCTTCAACAGTTTCGCTAATCCAAAATCTGCAACTTTCGGCTCAAATTGACTGTCTAAAAGTATGTTTTCAGGCTTCACGTCACAGTGGATGACCCACTCAAGGCATTCATGGTGAAGATATGCTAATGCTTTTGCCACACCAAGCACAATCTTGAACCTCTCATTCCATTTGAGCAATCTAGCACTGGTTGTGTTGTAAAACAAGTGGTTGTCCAGTGACCCATTCTCCACATACTCATAAACCAAGAGCTTGTGTGAACGTTCTGAACAAAATCCCCACATTCTTACAAGATTCATGTGGTATATTCTCCCAATTACACTGACTTCACCCCAGAATTCCTCTTCCCCTTGAATTACATCTTCCAATTTTTTTACTGCCACTACCCTATCGTCATCCAAGACTCCTTTGTAAACAACCCCTGTCCCTCCCCTCCCAAGCTCATTCTTGAAACTTCCAGTTGCCTTTTTAAGCTCTTGATATCTGAATTTCCTAAAGTGATCAGAAATCGCCTTGTACCCTTCCTCCACTGATGTCGACTTTCGATCACTCCTGAAAATGAACCACCAACCAAATACGACAAACAAAATCTCAATTACCCCGATTACCGATACAAACCAACAAAAATAAACCAGTTTCGATAGTCCACTGCTTTTTGAGAAAATATATGAAGGATCAACAGAACCCTCAGCATTGCTACTATTGCAAATTGGCTCATGTACTTGTGTAGCAGAGAGCTTCGACATTCCAAAACTCTTTGGGAGTTTCAGATATGCACTTCCTGGGAACTGAGGAGTAGTTTTCCCGTTAAAGAGGGCACTCTTCGTAAAGCAGGCACCACTCCCAATCTTGTACCCAATAGCTTGACATCTGCAATCATCCCTGCATCGCTTCTTGCAATACTCCAATGCTACTGAAGGGGTGTAGTTGAGATCAAAGCCCCAAAAGTCTGTTTTCGGGAGCTCTACAAATTCCATTTCCTGATGGCTCTCACAGCTAATATTGAACCGAGGCTTGCAACCTTTGCTCCAATCGCTTGCATCTTTCATTTCATAACCAAAAGGACAAGAACACTCAGGTCTGGGAGTGTACACGCATATACCATTCTTGCCACACAAACCGTGAACAAGACACAATTGTGGCAGGGCTTCCCACGAAACCAACCACAATCCGCTCGATTCGTTCAAGCTATACAGCCTAAGATTACCATCATAATCCAACGTCAATCTTCTTCTAGTCCCAGAACCGAAATCCGAAGCATTGAAAGCCAATCTGTCACTAGCCAGAAACTGGCCTTGTTCGTCAAGGACGCCGTATCTGCTACTGTTGTAGTTAGTTCTACCATTGTACCACACCGTGTTGTCAGGGTCAGGCCAGTAGATGCTAGAGACCTCAGGCCCATCATACATGAGCTTAAGGACATTATCATTGTCGAAATAAAAGCTATAGTAGCCTGATGAAAGTGAACCTCTGGCCCTTGCAGAGATTAGTTGCTTGCTTTTAATGATAGGTTGAGTTGGTAAGAGAGTATCAGTAGGAGAATCGAAGCTTTGCCATATGAGATTACCTTTTGGATCATTGAGAACTAAATTTCCGGTATTGAGAAGTTGTGCTGTATTAGCTTCGGTTGAACTGGTGTTGGTGCTCCATATGATTATGCCTTCGGCATCAGACAGAACCATGATCCCATCCTTGCGGAAGGTAACGGCTGATCCATGCCCATTAACTGGACGATCACGATTCGCGGTCCATACAACTGTCTTGTTCGCTGAATTTGAAAACCAAACTGAGAAGGTGTAGGCATTTGCGCCAATCTCGTAGAAGCCACATGTGAAGGATTCGTCAGCTGAGAGCAGAACATTAGAATCATCCTCCACATAAAGAGAAGAGTCTCTTGAGAGAGAGTTCTGGGGTGTTGCTGATGCTAAAAACGAAGTAAAAGAAAGGAAAGCAAGGGCACAGGGGATCGAGTGAGACGGAAAAGAACTCATTTTTCTTGCAAATGCGTGAGTTAGAAGAGAGAGCACTCCCCTCGCTAGTTCTGCCATAATGCTTTGTATCTTGAAGAAGTCATGCTGCTTTCGTTTCTGGTAAAAAACAGACAAAGGAAACGTGTGTGGTAATTTGGCCTCACGCCACTTATTAGAGTCCACAAGACTTTTAAACATTTTTCATTGTTTCTCTCATATAATCAAATTTTAGACTAACAAGAAATTGGTAAACATCAACTCCATAGAAAGATTTGGGAGAATGTGATGCTTTTTTAGAAAAGAAAAGAAAATAGCAGCCTCACTAACGTTTCCTCTACTCAACTCCCACTTTCAGAGAAGTTGTTGTAAAGGGATCGGCAAACAATTAGTTTTGACAATTCTTTTCCGAGTTCAGTCATGATCGAGGCTCAGAATCTTCGAAATACTAAACGGTCTTTCTACATAAATGAATTATGCACAGATATTAATTAATGCAAATCAGGGGTCATGAGCTATTCATTTCTCTAGTTCTCTCTATCTCTCTATCTCTCTCCTCTCTTAATTTCTGTACATAAATTATTTTTCTAATTCATTTTTCTTTCTCTCTCTCTTCTCTTATAGAGTGTCATGCGCACTCCATAGAAAAACCAAATGATGAAAACACCCAACTTCTAAAAGTAATTTCGCGATTCGAATCCACTATTGCAATTGGGAGGGGGGAAAAGTCCTAATAAATCTTAGAAAAGGCAATGCCATCGATGCCCTTAAGCAATGCACACATGGAGCTCAATATAAGTAATTTTAGGGAATAAAGCAATACCCATATCAACGTTCAAACTGAATTATTCATAGGAAAGAAAATCTAGTCATTTATTTTTTCCCAAAAGCAAACAATACCACACGAAAGTTTTTACCAAATCAACGAGAACCCATGTATCTCAAAATTTTACTAATCCAGCAAATCAAACAAGACCGGCATCAGAACGAGGAATAACGCGGTCAGGAATCGTTAAGAGGGCGGGGGGGTTGAAAGTTGAGACCTTTGCAGCGTTCGGTCGTTCTTCGCAGCAACAGCGAGGTTTGGGCAGCCCGAAGGAGAGTGATCCCTCGATCATCGAGAGACTACGCTTTTTGATGAGTCCTTCTTAGATTCATGAAGTTGCGTCGGAAGACGAGATGAAAATTAGCGGGTTGGTGGGTTCGGGTTGTTGTTAGAGCTATCTCCAAGTCCAAGGGATGCCTACAGTCTCCCTTAACCTAGGGGGACTATTAAGGAAGAACCCTATCCTTAATTATTCATATTTAGTGTTTTGATTTTATAGATTAGGATTTAATTAAATATGAGGTTTATTTACAAATGAATAAATAATTAAATATTAATAACTAAAAATAATTAATTAATAAATCTAAATTACGAAATTACCTTATATAATCATTAAGTTAATTAATCATATCGAAATTTAACAAATAATTCATTTATATAAATCATGTTAAAAGTTAAATATCATTTTTAAATTTAAATTCATATTATTTTAATCTTAATTTCATTAACCCTATTAAAAAATATTAATATAAAATTATAAGGGGAAGGTTAAGGGACTTTAACAGTCCCCTTAATTTGGGGAGAGAGTTGAGGGGTTTGGTGTGAAGGGGCGTTTTTTTTTTCCTGCTCGTTAGAGCAACTTCCCCTCCGAAGTCCCTTAACTAAGCTAAGGGGCCGGAGATGCTCTTAAACTCAGCTCGTTTCGTTTTTTTTAAGACATTGGTCCCTCAAAATCTTTCAATAATTCCATATTAGTTCCTCAAATCCTTGAAATTACTCAGTCCATAAAATCCCAAGGGGCCTTGCAACGTGTTCCCTCAATGGCTAAAATGCCCCTAACATTAAGTTTTTGTGAGAATAGTACTTTTTGGAAGGGTAAAAAAAGCATAAGCTAAGGAGCACTTTTGTCATTGAGGGACTAATTTGCAGGATCCTTTGGGATTTGAGAAACTAATGAGCATTTTCAAATATATG